GTTTTGAATATATATTTAATTTATTAGTAAGGTGTAAAGTAGCTTAGCATTATTATAATTGTATACTATTAGCCACGTTTAGTATGATCTTCGGTAGTGTCTTTTCTGTATTTATTTTATGATATATTTGGTAGCCCAAAATTATAGACTGGATAGACTCTATGCTAGATTACGGATGAATATATACCGTACATTAAGATCTTGAGCCACTACTAAGGCTGGAGGTAAAAACAGAATTGTAAATCATTTATTAGGATATACTTAGTTCATCGTACTTTGAGTGGTAGAAATAATGCCAACGAAAATACTGTAATCATTTCCGTATTGGATTAATGACGGTTCGCTATAAAATATTGTAAATAATAATAAACTGAGTATGTGTAAAATATGGTAGAATGCTGCTATGCTGATTGTATTTGCGAAGGCTACGGAGAGTATAAAAGAAGGAGACATTAAATTAATTGATTATTCTTTATAAGTCTTCTAGTACTTGTATTCAGCTAAAGTAGAGCTGTATGTAACTAGTCTTTGTATTAGATCTAATAAAGTTCTAATTTTCTACAACTTTGAAATTTTCTTGATCGGATTTTATCACATTAGGAAATAGGAGTTGTCAACGAGTAATTGAACAATAGCTAAATCAATAGCGATATGCTACCAAGGAGTAACAAGGTCAGATTTAATCAATAGCTCTTCTCTGACTCCTTTACCCGTGCTTAGCTTGCATAGCCTCAAATAATGTCTCTTTTATGTACTCATTATGTTCAATAATTAATTACTAACTTAAGATAATTGTACTAAATAAAAAGTAATATTTAAATCTTGATTATAGATATATAAACCTAGTAGTCTATTACTTCCAATGATATTAAAAATTAAAATGTCAACACCTTTACTTTTACTGGGTAAAAATAACAATTATGCAGGTCACGATAAATAGTAAGAATTATTGCAAAAGTCGCAATAGATATGATTCCAGTACTTTATTATTTCTAATAGAATTGGAAATGAATAGCTAGGTGGAATAATGTGGTAGTTATAAATAGGATAACAGATTACAATAGCTGCTAATTAAGGCAAAAACGGAAATTTTTCTAATAGTTATGATAGATCCATAAACTTTATAATGTACGGTATTTACTAGCATATCCGTGAACATTACAAGAAAAAAGGCAACTAAGAGAGCAAAAGGTAATATGATGTATTAAGTGGACTAATTCGAATAGAAGAATTTTTGCAACGTCGCTACAACAAATACCGCGAAAAGAGATGGCTCTTTTAAGCGAAAAATATCGTCTAGATGATTTACTGTAGTGCAATTTATAAGTTTGATCTAGCTGTTTGAGGAGGATCAATTAATTATTAATTTACAATGAAATTGATATACTGTACATGATAAGAAATAGGTGTGTCCAATTGATCAATTGTAAGTAAGAATGTCTCTATCCTTGAATTCTAAAGAATTGTAGCCCTTTTTAACTGCTTCTTGCTATCCAGTAGCCTCTCATCTATGATCAGTATTGTTCTACGAAATATCTGCTCATAGAAAGAAGTAAATGCGTACGATAGTTGGCTAATAAACTGTCATAAAGTCATTAAGTATCTGTGTTGTTATTTGCTATGGCCAGCATAAGTAAATGAGATATACCAAGATGGTATCAGTCCTCAAAAATACTTCTTCAGCATCAGATGATGCCTTTAGAAAAATTATTATGATGATTGCATACTTACTACTGTATCAATACTGCTTTCTAACTCCTTTAATAAGGAACTTTTAGTGCTCTAACGAAGTCTTGTTTAACGAAAATCATTCCAATGAGAGCGAGTCATATTAAAAATATGGCCAATCAATAATAACATGATCCTAGTGTGGTATTCAGTTGTTGGGTCGAAGTTGCTATTCTAATAAACTAAATGTAGTTATAATTGAGATTATTTGTCCAGAAATAGTCATTTTCAGTAGTATGCATCAGATTGATGCCAAGATAAAGTATGTTTTGTTTTTTCTGGTTTCGCTAGAATTATCACAATCAAAGTTATTGAACAATGCGTATATGCATTCCCTCCTTAAACTAGCTCTCAAGAATATTAAATGCTTTAGAATTTAGGAATTTAAAAAATTAGACAATTTATCGCTCGAATAGAATAATTAACCAGCGTTTTATTGCACAGTCATCTGCAAGGTCACATAATAAATCTTTATCTTATTACACGAGTATATTATTACAAACTAGTAGATCCTTACTGTGCACAGCGTGTAACTCTACGTACAAAGCGTATACTATATACAATACTGTTCTTTTAATTAACCTATTTACTATTAATCTAGAAACGATGTATAAATTCGATGGATTGATCAAAACAGCTATTACATTCATTCTATTTGTCTTCTATTAACTAGGGCTTATAATCGTGTAATATCGCAATATAAATAAATAGAATTTGTAACTTATTTTAATGCAAATATGCAAGTAATGAAGTGGCAAACGACGATTGGTCAAAAATTAGCAATAAGAAATGTCTTCTTGATGACTAAATCAATGTAATAGAGATTAGACTACAGTTTATGCAATGCTTTACAACCTTAAAGTTAAATAAAAGGCATAGACTAAAACTGGCCAAAGAATGATAGGTTGCAATGTATCTTCAGTAATGCCAAAACGGTACATTCTGTTAAATTATGATTCATCTAGACAGAATAAATTTCAACTCTACTTGAGCTCTAGAATTTCGTATCCTTTGAAAATAAATCTTATAGTTCAACATCAACAGATATCGAAGAGGTTACCATGTGGCAATAGTTACCATTATAGTAATTAAGGCATTAATGAGTTTTGAAAGTGTAATAGTAGTATAGAGTAACGAGTTGAGTAATTTAGAATAGGCTTGTATGCCTAATAAAAAGCATTCATACAGTAAATTTTCTAGTAGGACAACCCCGAATAGATGGAGTTATTATTCGCAGTATTCCATATTTTATTTTGATCGACAGTCTGACTAGAGCGCAGGTACAATACTAGAGAAATTTGCCCTTAACGTCATGGGTCAATTTTTTGGAGTAGTCACTCACTCCAAATAAGGTAGAGTAAATTATGATACTTCTCTTTAATTGGTAACGCGGAAGAAGTTATCAGTTAGTACAGCACTCTAAGGCAAAAATTGAACTATCAATAGGTATCATTAAAAATACTTATTTTAGTGCAATAAGTACTTTATAATGAAAGGTCTTAAAACTAGCAATGATAAGACTTGGATAATATGTAAAGTTCACTTTCTTACATGAACTACCACACTTCTTTAACCAAGAATACTGCTAGCTATCCATCTTAATAAGACATTCCTAATCAAAGCTATGGTCATAATGAACGAAAAATTTAACTAATACTTCCAACTTTGAATTTCAACGCTAGAAATTTAGGGAAAAGTACCTGTTTATTATAATAAATGTCCAAAAATCTTATCAATTGTACTTGAAGAATTATAAAAGAACAGAATTACTGCTTTAACCTATCGAACTTCTACGTAAAATACGATTTACTCTCGAATTAGGAAATTCCTAAATTTCACCTTCTCCATCTTGAACTCCTAAACTGCTGAACTATGCGATCTTTTATTTACTGAGCAGAGCAGTAGAAGGTAACAGACTGCTATCATACCATTCTAAAGTAATCTAAAATAGACGAGCAAATAAATATGTATGATAAGAAAAATTATACCTTAAATCGTAGGATGACTAAATTAATATTAATTAATCATAATTTAACTACAAAAGGTATTTTCTACACCATATATAATACAGCTATAATAAAACATCATAAGAGATCATCAATCGTAAAGTAGAACCCTGATTAGAACGTTCGGGTTTCTATTATTTCATACCAGAAAGTGATATCATTTCTACTGTAACATCTAATTAAAATTAGCTGCTAGTTTGTGATCATGATTGCAGCTTAAAATATAGTGCTACCTAAACATAAAGCTAATTTAACATTCTTACTTTCCGTAGTTCCTAACAAAAATTAAGTTATCGAATGTTATTAAATTCCAACTCGAGTAAAGTGATTGGATTTAAGATATATAAAAAAGTAGCGAGTAGAATCTGCTGCAGTTTAACCAAATTAAGTTACTTTTCAAGTTACAATACTTTACTAAAGTTAAAAAGCATGAAGGAGAATTCTAAAAATTAACCTTCATTACACACTATAGTAATTACTATTTAGTATAGGTACGCTCTTAACACAATTTTGACTTTACTAATGTACAATCTCGTAAATACCATGGCAATTTTTTATTATAACATATCACTTTGCAACTTTCTACCATCTATTAGACTATATTGGGGCTGCATAGCACCCTTTTATTAAAGCTATTGACAGTAGCTATTTGAAACTCCTTCGCAAATAAATGCAGCATGTACATGACAGATAACTTACAGTTGTAAGACTGGCACCGAAGTTTATATTCGAAATCTTAGAGTATAACATCGGAAACAACTATCATTTCGGAGATACGCTACCTTAACAGCTCCAAAATAAATTTAATATTTTTAAATCATAGCAATCTACAATTAATTCAATAAGCTCAGCGGCTACAGTATGTCACATAATGCTAGATTTGTTTAAAAGTATAGAACAGAATTAAATCATTCACTTAGCATATTCATTATAATGAGTAATATAATAAATACTCAGAAATCTAAGATGATTTTGTACCAAAACTGCCACTGCAGTTATAAAAGATATCGTTTTAATATACAATTCACTGGTTAACCTGCAACTAACTTTAAGACAATACTAAACTGATTTAGTGATTTCATGAGCTTGATAAAATAGAACCATCGTTAAACTAAAGTAATCTAGAAACAAAGTATAGAAATCTCTAATTTCTAACCAAAACCGCTGTTATCTATAACAAACTAGCTGAAATCTTTGTGAATCATTTTTAAACGATGGAAAGCAGTAAATTCTATGAAAGCATATCATACAGTCATTCTAGCGTCGTTAAGATCCGGCACTGACGACAAAATTATTAAAAGACGACACTGTCAGTATTTTAGGCAATCGCTGATCCGATCGGTTCTCTGAGTTGGTATCCATCACCGATCTCCTAAATTTGCGACAACATTGGAATGGTAGGGCACTGCGAATAGATTGACTAGAATAAAGAAAGATAAGTGGACTTTGAATACATGATAATATCAGAAATGCATTTCCGAGGAAAGATATTGAATCGGTTTTCCTGCCCAATCGAAGGAAAAAATAGACTGAATTTTGTGCATTGTATGCAATAATAAGATTGGCCATGAAGAATGGCGTACATGTTAATATGAATGTAACTGTCACTAGAATTAACAATTTCACAGTCTTAAGATGGTGCAAATAATTTTTCTTTAATATTTTATAATTTCGAAGTTGTCCGTCAGTTGGGGTTTCATTTTGCCGCAAAAAGTTCATAATTTTTATATAAATAACATTCACGGTGATGATTGGAATTAGAAGTGCTGCAATGAACAATGACGTGAAATAGGCTATATTGAAATTAAAACTTATGTATCGAATATTGCACATATATGGATATTCAGCTAGAATATCCGCTAAAGTTAAAATGGGTAAAGCTATTAATATTCCAACTACCCAAGTTAGAGTAATTATTGTTTTCAATTTACGAGATGTATTTAGCATGGAGGTCCGCTGTGATAATCCGGGAGTGATCATATGATAACGTTCGATACTTATGGCAATTAAAGTTACCATTGATGAAATGCAAGCAATTCCATTTACATAATAAGAAAATTTACACGAAGCAGCAAGAGTAGGAGTCCCCATTAAATGCAACGCTAGGAAACAATTAGTTACAGTTATAGCTGCAGAAGTGAATAAAATGAAAGAATGAGAGACTCCAAGATTGATTAATAAATAGAAGGTTGGTGTTTGCAATGTTTTTTTCTTTAAAATGCCATAGCAAATCATCGCGTTAACTAGGATACCTAGTGAAGCCAGCAAAGCTATTATAGGTAATGTAATTTGCAGTTTTCGAAATTCTTGTTTCGCAACAGTTTTTACAATCGACTGATTCAGCGACATATTAAACGCCATTAAAGTACGGCTTAAAGTACCACTAAGATTCTTCGCCATAGTCTTATCAGCTAAAATGGCCAAAGGTCATTAAGAGCTTTAAATTTTGTAACAGTTATTGCTCTTCCACAAGACTGGTGAAATTAGCAATGATCAATACTATTACAACATTGAATGTACCCTAAATTACGATTTTCTACTTATAGTGAAAGTTTAGGTAATTACGAATTGTTTGTTAATAGGCACAGTGGAAGGCAGTTACTAGCTAACTTCATGCGTGTTAATTTTATAATGCCGATTAATAATTAAATGTTTATAAAGCATGTCAAAGTCTAATATTTAATTATTATGTTAAAAACACAAAGTGACCATTATATGGTAATTTGTGGTTGAATTTTGAAGTTTAGCTTCGGTAAATCGGATGAATGTTTACATGTATCAATGTTAAATTTACAATATTTGATAATTTTAGAATTCCTAAAAAAATAAAATACCGCAGGATTAAAGTTCCAAGATTAATAATTTCAGATAAGATTAATTTACTTTTATGAATCGGATCATTCAAATTAATTTTCATGATTTCTACTGGCTATAGAAAGTCATAATGACAAAAAATGGTAATAAATTACATTCTATAAAAAACAGTGCTTTATAGATTTAAAATTGAACTGGTAAAACTGTATTCAATCGCTCGTTGTGTTCGTAATAAACAAAGCAGTAAATCATTATGGTAGAAACGTAAATAAATTTGATACAACCTATTCCTTTATTCTTTAGGGCGGTCTAAATTACTATACTTACTGATAATAAATGATGAATTAAACTTTCCGAGATGAAAAGCAATAGCAATCACATATGACGACAACATGTGAGAAACTTGTAAAATTATATACCTCCTCTAATTTAGTACAGCAATTAGTGATAAAATGAATACTTACTTACGGTCATGCCGCACAAATCCAGAAAGCAATATTCTTAAAATGACTTAATATATGAACTACTTTTGTTACATTTTCAATCACTCGAAAATTTAAATTATGAATTGAGGGCCGGTAGGCAAAGAGTCAAGCTATCATGACGACATTTACAAATGATTCAGCATGTAGTAAGGAAATATTCTTACGAGATACTAAATGAATGTTCATCTTCTTATATGGAGAAAGATTATTCAATTATTTATTACATCTGAAATGTTCGTATAAGTCAATTAAAGGTTACTTTAAGTAGCTGGACATAATTTACTAGTATCTGTTATAACGAATTCAAATAAAAGTTTACTAATCTTCTATATGCTTAAGATTTACAAAGTACACTGTTTAATCATCCTATTTATTTTTGTTTCGGCTATTTCAGTTCTAGATGTTGTACGAAACATTTATACGTTTCAAGTTAAATTCACGAATTTTTGTTAAAATTGAGTCGTAAAATTTCATTAGCAAGCAATTCTGTGTTTAATATCATTTTACCGAGATTAATTAATAAAACATAAGCGTTGTTTGAGTTTCACCCGTCCATCCCCATAATTTTAGTTCGCTTTCATACCCTCCTTGAAATCTAAGTAATTGTAGATGTGATGGACGATATAACATAAGTAAATATGTTCATCTTTCTTATGATATAAATATCTTAAAAGATTATAACTAGCAGCTAAAGTTAAAAATCAGATTATCATTACTAAGGTGCTAGAAATGGCTTAATGGATGTATCGGATATCATCTGAACATTTCCAAGATTTTTGCCTACATAATCGAATCGTGTTTATAATGTAAACGACCTATGATGCTCGCAGCATTACTAAATTTTGGCCTCTAGTAGTTATAGAAGAGCCGATTGCAGAAGATAGCAGATACATACAGTAGATAGAAGATTATTTATACTGCCGCCAGCTAGATCAGCGATATCCATTAGCCCTTCCTTCTTATTCAATACAAATTGAAGTGTTTCTAAGTGGATTTTGATCAAGAGGCACATTTTACTATCAAATAGTACAGTAGAAATATCTCAATTCTTTGAATTGACTATTAATTTTCTTATTTAAAGACTAGGCAACGTGAACAGATTGTAAAATCGGTTAACTTTGCTCCTACGTCAAAAATTTTGATGACGTCTACCAACAAATCAAATATTTTGCAATCTTCCTTTAAAATTTTTAGGTAAAGTAAATAAATATAGGCAGACTTTATTGATATTGATATCAAATGGAAAGAGGCGATGGTAAACTGAATAATCACTAAAATGCGCCATGTCGTTTTCATGGCATTCTTTTGACGTCAATTGCTCGCTAATTTTTAAAATAACTAAAATTTCACTGTTCTTAAGAACGCTATCATAAGTATTAATATCTTCAAAAAATGTCAAGCCCGTCACAATGCTAGTCTTAAAAATCTACTGCTGAATCCTTCTGTTTCTCTTAGAATTTTTTTAAAATAAATCTTGTTCTATTTCTTCGCATGGAGGTCTCTATCTTTGCTATTGTATCGCACGTACTATAAAGTCAGCCTTTAAAATGAACGCTTATTCCCCAATATAAGTCTTTTGCTTTTTGCTGGCTATTAAAAATTTTGCATAATCTTTTTTGTGTACTAAAGAGAAATAAAATCCCTTCAGGATCACACATGACAATTTTAATCATGTGCAGCCATTCTGGCCTTATCCCTACTACAATCAGTGCATAAATAAAAAATCATACTATCTAGGCGCAAGTTAAAGCTGGATAAAGCAGTTAAAATTTTCTTGTATCAATAAAGTGAGAAAATAATGATTCCTGATCGAATAGGCAGAAATATGTTGTAGAAATAAAGAACGAAAGTATGTGACTAGCACTTGTTTGTAGCTTTCAAAATTTCTCACTTCTTCAATATTCTATACTTGCTATAAATGCTTTATTGCTCAGTTAATAATTATAACTGATACTAAATAATTTCTACTTAAAAAAGGATCACTTGACTTCAAAAATTGCAAGAAATCGGTTTATTTTCTCCAACTAATTAACTTTATTCATACCAGAGCAACTATATGTAGGACTAAATATGGTTAAAAGTAATTTTTATTTCACCCTCATCTTATATACTAGTACTGTGTTTTAGTAAAGGATATTTGAAGTCTCGAACGAACTAATTTTACTAAGTTTATAACTAATACAATTTACAACGAACAAATTAATTTTGTAGAGTGCACAAAAGAAAACTATACTTTACAGTTTTACCTCGCAAAATATATGCATTGACTACTGATTCTAGCATGTTTTTATATTACGCCTTTTTAATCATTAATGGCTAGCAAAGCTAATCGATTCTATCATGTATTTATTCAAGCATCATATATGTCGTAGGAACTTTACATTTCTCAACTTTTTGATCAGATAAATTTGAAGTATTCAAAATATGCTATACAAAGGAAGTAAAATTCGTTATCGTATAGAATGACTTTGATAAAATTATTCTAAACTGTGGCTGTCAATCAAGTTGGACGTAAGGAATCCTTAACAAATATCGGTTATCCAGAGAATTATACAGTGAGAGTAAGAACGCACATAATTAGACGGATCTACTATTATTATAGAGTATTAAACTGTCAATGAGTTATCAATGAAACTATAAAAGCACTCCACTGTTTTATGTTCAGATGAATTTACAGTTATCAAAATCTAATAGTCATGGAAATAAAATTTTCTATTGTACAGAATAGTATTAGTAAAATTATTCTAATCGACCAATTTGGACTTAAAGAATCTCTTTTAACAAATATTTGCTGTCCAAAAAATTATACAGTAAGAGTAAGAGCACGTATAAATTAGTAGATCAATCTGCTACTACTATTGAGTTAACACAGTACGTGAGTTACTCATCAAACTAATTAAACTTTCTTCGATTTCTTAATCAGATCAATTCGCACTCATCAAAATCTGATACTCATTGAAATAAAATTCGCTATCATACAGAATGGCATTGGTAAAATTAGTCTATTCTGTTGCTGTCAATCAAGTTGGATATAAAGAACCTTTAAGAGATATAGGCCATCCACAGAATTATACTGTAGACACCTTACACTGCTACTAACACCAAGCATTAAAATGTATGTGAAGTACTAATTAAACTTTCTCGCTGCTATATGTATTTTTATAATAACGCCTACTTATAAAAGCTCATTTTTTTAGAGATTAATTTTGACATTATTTGCAATTCCTAAGTCATATTTATAAAATAGCAAAGCATTAGTATTCGCCAATCAAAACCATGCAATTTGGATATCCAGTGGATTCTAAGGATCTATAACAGCGAAGACAAATATACTTTCAAGCATTCATCTTTTGAATGATCTTTTTGACTTTGGATTAAACGCTACCACGTTGACTTCGTAACGAGATTTGTATATCTAAAATATTTTAAAGGTGATAATTCTCAGCAATTTACTACGGTGTAAATTCGGCGGTATCAGACCTCTCAACTTAGCGATAAAAATCGTAAGTAGTTCATAATTTTTTTCTGTAAGCAAATGACAGGATTTAACAAGCATACATTTAAAATTAAAGAATTTGTGATTGTCACAAAACAGCTTTGCCACAAGATAACGTAATGTACGATCAATAAGTCAATTCCTTGAACCAAGTATCAAGGAACGATATCTGTACTATCAGAAACACTTTTGCTCTACTAACAGACTACACAAAGACTTAAACGCCTCGTATTTTACGTTAAACACTAAGTTTGAGAATCCACTTTATTGCACGATATACTGCATTTATATACTATTCCTCAATAGTTCATGAGTCATAGTTAGTATGATTAACTTTGGAATCATTTACTGAATTAGATATTAATTGTAGCTACTGCTCCCTTAATACAGACAACAGTATTTACTAACTTAGGCATCTGATGACTAATACAGAATAGTCAGATTACGATATGTGCTGTCACGGAACATTTCCACGATAATTTACAATCTACCATAAGTAAGTTACAATCACAATGATTCGAACTGTAAGTAGATAATTTGCATTCCCTATTATAACGATTAATTTCAGTATGTGTATATGTGTCACTATCATAAAAAGTCAGTGCTATATTAAATGGCAGTATATCCAAATTAGAAGTTCACTGAATAAGGATAGGCTAACAGAATTATCCTAACATAGATATTTCTACTCTAATACAGTATATAACACTGCCACAGTGATATAAGATGACATTAACAAATGTGGCAACTCATGTTCATCATTTGTTAGTCAGAGCCTTAATTTATCGATTTCAGCAGAAGATTCAACTACATTAGCAGCATTGGAAAACATTTTGAATTGATATAACTTAATTTAAAGATCATTTACTAGTCGTATATCATTGTCTGCGGCAAATTTACTCTATCTAAGAACACTATCAGTAATAAATGTTTCATTCTAGAAACTTTAATTTCATTGCTTGAACGATTTAAACCTTATAATTGAAAGTTTTAATCCCTGTCATGACGATATTCGAATCAATTTATCGTACATAAACTTTCAATTGGCGTAAATGAGCAACTTATAATAGTTGAGTAAATCTACTTATTATAAAGTAAGCGTGTAATGTCTTCTAATAGAAGAGAATTACATCAATATCTTTATTCATTGACTGCTTTTTAATAAGATATACCACAAATTTTAAAAATTTCGTTTATCAATCAAACATAGCAGCCATTGACTTTCTTGTGATTACATGGAAGACTGTATTATCAATAAATCTCTCCTTAACTTTTTTTTCGGAATAGATCATTTTGCAATAGCGGATAGCATATTAGACTTTCATATAACGTAACTATCAGCCAATTCCTAAAAAATAGACTAATAGCTCATTTTACAATTGTGGATGGAATAATACAACTTCATATGAAAACTTCGTAGCTACTTAGTTATCTGCTAATTCATAAAGAAGTAGATGAATAGATCATTTTGCTATTATGGATAGGATTCTAGGAATTTGTATAAAAACTTTGTAATGACTTAGTTATTGGCCAACCTAGAAAAAATCAAGTAATAGATCATTTTGCAATGGTGAATGGCATGCTAGAAATTCTTCTGAAAACTTCGCAATGACTTAACTATCTGTTAATCCATAAAAATGGACTGATGGGTCATTTAGCAATTGTAGATAGCATACTAAAACTTCATATGAAAACTTTACAATGACTTAATTATCTGTTAATCAATAAAATATATTTATAAACTAATAGATCATTTTGCAATTGTTAATAGCGTACTAGAACTTCATAAAAATTTCATAATGATTTAATTACCTGTTAGTCCATAAATTCTCCACAAATTTAAAGTGTGTAATGCTATAGGATAGCCACTCTTTCTTGCATCTATCTTCAAAATTCAGAAATATAAATCTCTTTTTCTACATTTATATGAAGTTAATTCCTACTACAGAAATCCAACAGCTTGGATCAGCAACATTTTGTCCGGCTAGTTCATATATGAGGTTCCACTTTATACAGTCATCGATAGGATTTAATCGGCATATTTAGATAGCATGGGTTTTCTCGCCTATATCCTTTTCTTCACCACAGTTATAACGTTTTCAAACCTTCCGGTGGAAGCACAGACAGTAGGTTTGTATCGAAATTTTGCAGGACCGACTTTATTAATTCAAAAGCAAGTTATTGACTGTTTAATCTCGACAAAATTGAATATTTGCTTTGCTATTTTCATTTTTTAGTATTAATAGAATTAAAGATGGATTACTTTTAAATTATCTATTTCAAACAAACTGGTAACGTATATGATTTTCTAGTCTAATATTCTTTGGGCATGATTTTGTTCTTTCCAGAATGTGATCGACCGCTTGGTCTAAGGGATGGCGCTATTAAAAATAGTCAACTATTTAGTTCTGGTCCAACTACATCGGGCGTTGCCGCACAGTACGCTCGATTATTTTCCAGTAGTGCATGGTGTATAATGTCTTCGCAATTCGTTGCCGGTTCGCATTATTTGCAAATCGATTTTTTACAAGCAGTCAACGTAACAGCTATCGAAGCTCAAGGTCAATCAAGATCAGGAGCAACATCCTATTACACTCAATATTGTTCAACTGCCGAGACTTCCTCTTGCCAATTTATATTGGAAAACGGAGGCCCCAAGGTTATATACCAGTCTTTGAATTATATTTGATGACTCAACTAGTAAAATGATTTACGTTATACGATTATAATTCCAGAGACTAAAATATATACATAAAATAATGAAGCACCAATAGCTTAATCAAGATAGCAAAAAGATAAAAAATTACTCTTCTGCTAGGATACGCATGTAAATATTGAATTTCTATCATTTGCTAGGAATTTATAGGCAGGGCTGATGGAGAAGAAAGTATTTTAACAAGATTGCCTAACCGAGTGCTTACTCGTTATATACGTATTTATCCTTTACAATTTGTAAACAATCCTTGTATGAGATTAGAAATTTATGGTTGCTCAGCGATTGATTTTACTCCTGCGCCTGCAACGACAGATGGTAGGTTCAATAGTGTTCGAAAGCGCTAATTAAACATTTCAATATCTGCTCGTTGCTACTCATGAAATAGTTGCCTAGTTCTGCTAACAATATTACTCACGATTCATATTCTCTCGGTACGCTAATCATTATTACGTTATTAAACTGGGATCACTTTCAACAGCGCCATGCAATGTATCACTTGGGATGAGCGACGCTAGAATCAATGATAGTCAAATCTATGGAGAAGGGGAAACTTTTATCTCAACAACTCCAAAATTTGCTCGACTGAAACGCGCAAGTGCTTGGTGTATTCGCCCAAATTACTTCCAACCTGGAAAAGATTATCTTGAAATAGATTTATTAAGAAATGCAACATTAACTGCTATCGCGGCACAAGGTCAATCCAATTCCGGAGTAAGCATGTTTCAAATGATGTTCTCTATTGATATACCAGAAATCTCTTGGAAAAATTATACAGCCATTAATTCGACGAAGCCGGAGGTAAATGCGAAGATAATTGAAGATAATTGCTCAATATTTAGAATAATGTATAAGAAATGAATTGCTATCAAAACTTTATCAAAAGCCTACGTTTCAAAATATTTTTATTCCAATAATTTAGAAAATCATAACCTACCCATTTAACATATCTAAAATGACCAATCTATTTATTATTATATTATTACTAGAAAGATAAATAGAGCTCTATACAATTGAGATGAAATGGTTTTCATCCTTGATTTTTGCAATCAACAAAGTCGAAATTTGAGTTATTAAAATAGTAAAAATTTGTAACTTGACGGAAAGTGGTCAATATTGCCTTTATCCTTCAAAATAAATTTCATGATGAGTCCATTTGTTGCAGAACAATCCACTTTTCATTCCCTCATAAGGTAGTGGAAAATGACTAGAATAAACCGGATAATCAATAATCAACTTCAATTCTGAAGCATTAATCCAACTCAAAATCTGAGTTATTAAAACTGAGCAAATCTACGACGAGATACAAGATCAGATAAACAACATGTTTAACCTTAAAAGTATCGTTTATTAATAAAGCGTTTGACAAGAGAAGAATTCACTTTTCTTACCTTATAATAACAGTCGAGTCGAGAGTGGCTAAGATAATCCGGATAATCGATTTCGTCTCCAAGATAGCAGTTTTATATTAACTAACAGTTATATTAAGGCATTACACAAAAGCATCAACTTATGTAGCTGTTTACTGCGGCCTTTCACGCACATAGTACGTTTACTTTAAGTAGACCGTTTTATCATCAGCAATCGTGGAATTACCTTATAAGTGTAGCAGACCATTCTACTTCTTAATGTTACCGTACTTCAATTACGAGTGTAATTAGCTGAAAGCACTACACAGATCAATGATAGGAAAGAGCATAAGAGATAATTTAAAATGGATCAGGTGCTATATTATTTCAACTAATAACATCAATGATATCATAAAATGAGCAAATAAAATATCGTTTACTACAGTTTTCAGTTGTATTTTGCTCACTTATTAAAACAAAAATATCTTATCTTAGATATATTTTATATGTAATTGAATCAGAAATAACTAGAATTTACAATATATGCATTATTCTAGAACTTCGCTGGTGGAATCACAAGAAGAGATATCAAAACCCATAACCTAAAGGAGGCTTTTCACGCTAGAAGGCTTAGGATCTACCCATTGCAATATATATCAGCGCCTTGTATGAGATTAGAACTTTATGGTTGCCCCTTGTACTAATTATTTCTAGCACTGGAAAATTTTAGATTATATGAACACAATCTAACTCCAATTTTAACTTTAAAATCTAGTAATTAAGAAAACCAAAATGCAATAAATCATAGTAATCTAATTTCTGCTTAGAATTAGGGATAATTATAGTGCTAGTTAAAATGCATAAATTAGTATTATGAAATTTCATCCAAATAATTAATGAATTTATTGATTTCTAGGTATATCCTTTTATTGTCTTAATTAATGAAAGTCATTCTAAATTTGCTAGAAATATGTAACCGATTCATTAGTATGTCTTCAATGCACTTACTGACCTATCATCATCTGTATCGATTGGGCATATCTCCTTGTATTATAGACTCGTATTTACCAAATAAAAAATTTCAGCGACGCATTTTTAAACTATTTTATTCCAGAAATGTTGATGATACTTGCAAAGATCTTAATGGAATAAGTATAGCTAAAGATAATGTCACAAACTAGCTTCGTGACAAGGATAACGTAAAACAAATCTCTAAATCAATAAAATCTGCGGATTCAGTATCCCTACTCACAAGAATTTAGACGCATTTAATTCTATGTTAAACTCCACTAGACAATTGAGTACTACTTTATTCAACTATCTGACGCGCTTATATACCCTTCTACAGCAGCTAACATTCATGAGTCATCTTATAAAAATACTAAGGTGAGAACATCTACTAACGAATTTTTCACAGTCGGACTACAATATGTCCATTCACTAAATCATTTCAGTGCACATTACAGCACAGCATAAAATTTACAGTAACACATTTATAATTAGAGTGTAGTGTAACTTAGTATTGTGATTGTAGACTGTTAGCCATGTGTAGTATAATGTACGGTATACTGTATATTTATCCTAAGAGATATTCGGCAGCTATAACTATAGACTGTAGTGGTGTAGACTCTATGCTAGAGTACAGATGACCATGTACACTAAAGTGTTAAGTTACTAATAAGGCTATAGGTAAAAATGGAACTGTAAATCATAAATTAGGATATGGTTAATTCATTATGCTTGGACTGGTGTGAATAATGTCTACGTAAGTACTGTAGTCGTATCCATATTGGATTAATGATGGTCCGCAGTAGAACAGTCTTACTAAGAATAATTTAACTATGTGTAAAATAAGGTAAAAGGTTACCATGCGGATTGTAGCTGCGAATGCTACGAAAAGTATAAAAGCATGCAACGTTAGATTATTCTATTAGTTCGTTGTAGAAGTCTTTAGTAGTAGTATTCGGCTAGAGTAGAGCTGTGTGTAGTTATTCTTTGTATAAGATTCAATAAAGCCCTTATCTTTCTAAAAATTTGGAATTTCATGATTGGTTTATATCACATAGAGTAATTCCTATTGTAAGTAACTAGTTGTAATATATTATCACTATATTACATTGATCAAATTTAAAGAGCTATTTCTTCACGGTAGTTCGTACCGTGACAGATAAGCATGATAGAATAAGCGCATTGGCATGACATTAAAACCACTATTACCAGCTTAAATTCAACCTAAGATTGGTACTTTTCTAACTGTATTATTTATAATAAACCAATATATAAATATGTTTAACATTTATTATGGCACTCTGTTATATCAGAGGCTTTATTTGACGCTGTAAGAAACAAGATTCGCTATTGTTAGTAGTACTTCGTTCATGTCCAAGACTTTTATTATACTTTTGTATGCAATGCTTTTATTGCTATTATCTTTCAAAATGACATGAAGTTGAACGATACGAATTGAAAGATGTTTAAGACAATAATAACAGACCATCTAGTTATTCACTGAGATTGTAAGCCAACAAAAGAACTCATGATACTTTTTACTTAAGGTAAAGAATAAGTTCTATGTATAATTTACTCAAAATCTTAACATAATACGAAAAGATAGGATAATGATCATATTGTTTCCCACGTAACGATGCAAATTTCATTCAACCAAGTACGCCTGTACAATTACAAGTACAATTTAGTGTTAAAAAGGACAAGTAAATCATTAGTTATTCTATTAGAAAAGTCGCAATACTATCTACATTAGCATTTTGGACATAAGCTAATTAGTATGATTTGATACTAAAATCCTGAAACAAAATACTAAATATTGCACGGAAAACGCCACATATCATTCTCTAGACTACGCCTTTAGTCATGGCTAATTTAAAATTATCTCACTCCAAGTACTGCTTACCGCACATTCATGTCGAATTAAAAGAATAATCTGATGCCAAGATCTTTCAGTATAATATTAACTATTCTATAGGAAATGATAGAAAATTGCTTGAGACTATCCTGCAGTGAAGCTGTTAGATAAACTATCGTTGTCGATATATTATAATTATATAGAAGTAAATTAGATAACTTAAAAATAATGCCAAAATCTATGGCTGTTGACGATACCAGGTACATATAAGTAATGTTTGTGATAATTCATGTATGTTGATTTCAGCTTCGTAGAATGTGATACCAATCTTAGAATTATATTCTCACACTAAGTTTTGTTAGTGTTAAGTGATGTTTTTCGCAATTATTATATTGTAAAAAAATCAGATAACGCATTTAAGTTGCTTCGCTTTTCTGCCATCGTTGTTCTTAGTTCTTCTTTCTAAGATCTGCTGTTGTAGGAAGTTTACCTTGTCTGACAGAGCTTGTTGCACTATTACATAGTATCTCAATCGATGGAAAATCAGTATCTCTGCTATTATAAAATTACTTGTGTGATCTTGTAGCAGTTTCAGCTAATTACAGTAGTAATTGAAGTTCGGTAGCCATAAGAAGAAGAATTGCCTACTATGCTTATAAGGTAATTTCATGATTGCCGATGAAACGTTGTAAGCGTACTTATAATATTCATATAAGCCCACAGCAGTCGGCTATATTAGGTGATGTTATTGTGTAATGTCTAATATAAATGTATTACGGTGTTGCCTTTCATTAGGATAGTTTACTAAGTACAGTAGTAACTAGTATGGAGAATATCCATATTTGTAGTGCCGGGTAAGGTAATTAATGCCTTAACGTGGATGTTGTTTGTAATAGTTCATTACATACTTGATATTGATTGTTATTGTGTGACAGATAGCAGTAAGATGATTCAAGTTCTAGTTGATGATAGTTGAATTAGATAACCTACGAGCTTAGATTAAAATTAAGTATGAGTAAGAGATTCAAAATATTTACTGATAGAAAAGCTATGTAAAAAGGATCATCTCAGTTCGAGATGTTTCTCCTGGTAAGGTATAACAATAATACTGTTGTTGTTTACGAATTAGACGGTTCCTATATAAACGGAAACATTTGAGCTCAGTGGCGGTAAAAAGTTGTAGATGTATCTTTGCTAATAAAAGTTTCATCTTTACAGTCTTTTCCTCTGTGTGTTTAACATTAAGTAAGAGGGCGTTTAGGTCAGTAGCTGCTTATAGACTTTTACTGTACGTTACCTTGTCACAGAAGTAAAATTGTGACAAAATGTTAAATAATTTGAAATTGCTATCGTGGAGACAAAATCGATTATCTGGTTTATTGTAGCCACTGTCGACTGCTATTATGAGGGAACAAAATCGAATTCTTACTTTGTCAAGCGTTCTATTAATGAACGATACTTTTGACGTTAACATACTATTTATCTGATCTTGTATCACGTTATAGATTAGCTAAATTTCAATAACTCAGATTTTGAGTTAGACGATTGCGAACCTCAAGAGTTGTAAAAGCCAAGCAGTATACTCTAATTAACATTGGTAGAACAGGTTTTATTACACATCTATTTAAGTACAGTCGATTTAATAAATATCAATCTTAGATAAAGTAATAAGACTACTGTAGACTTACTACCTGGACATAATAAACTAGAAATTTTCAGTTCTATAAATGCAGTCGCTGATCACAGGTACCGAAGTAGCAGTAGAAGACCGCTTCCTGACTGCTAAATATTATTCCAGGCTTTGAACTAAAAATATAGTGAGAATTATAATAAATCGTTAAGACCGCCTTTATGACTACTAAATATTATTCCAAGCTTTGAACTATGAAATATAGTAACATTGATCACAAAAAATTCCCAAATATATCTTGCTAAAAATATCCTTCCCCCTTAACATATTAGTTAAATGTCTACAAATATTAAGGAAATCTAAAAATCAAGCCATATCTATAGGTTATGGTAGCGTAATCACAACATAAGAATGTTTTATCAAGGCATTCTATAAGATTTTAATTTTTTAATTACATTGATTATATTCTTTCAAAGGATTTTAGTTATTAATTCTGCGGCTTTAATCTAATTTTATTTAGATAAGCTACATTTATCTTTAAAATTAGTCTAAATGATATTGCAACAGTCCTTATGATTTTATGAAATTCAAATAAAATGTGGCTTGTCATCTTTACAGACTTACAAAATAAAGACTTAAGTCTACATTTGCTATATGAAATTATAATTTTTATGTCCAGATGATGCTTATCTCTTATGTTAAGAGCTTAAACTATAAAGAAAAGGTAACTCGAATGATTATCAACGATCATCTGCTTTTAATTACATACTGCCACCGGCAGTTTTAAATAACGCTTTACCAATCAAGGTAGTAGTCTACGTGAGGTTAATTAGACTGATTATACCTTTAATTAAAACTACATAAAATTAAAATATATATGCACAAGAAAATAAATGGGATAAAAATGTTCTATTATCAATCATATTAATTAATTAAGATTTACTGATATCATATCTAATCGCAAGTAATGGTGCGGAAACCAATCATCTTGGAGTAAAATTTTTAACCTAATCACTTCGATGCTTAAAGCACTAAATCAAAATTCATCTATACTCATCTAAAACTACTTAAAATTATGAATATAGTTTTTACCCAACGTGATATTTAGATAGCTATTTTTAATCATGGTGTATGAAACAATAGCTCTCGTAAATTTTTTTGTCTTAACACTAATGGTGATAATAGATTAGATATTAAGGCAGACCTTAACC